GTCCCATGTTCTAGATTTAGAGCTGTGTGTCTTAGGAATGTTTCATTAAATCCTTCCACAAAGGCTTCAGAACGTTTTTCTTTCCCTCTGGGTATATAGCTTCATTTTAGCTTAGGAAGGAAAAAGGTTTCTATTACGCATTATCAGCTTCCAATTTGACCAACCTCTGACCATAGAGCTACTTAAAAAAAAAAAAAAAAATCCTTTTGACTATCTTGTCGGGTTTCAGCTAGGACAAACAATAAATAGTCCTGGCAATACTGAATACTGAACAATCCCATGGGGACAAGTGGCATTCTCAAAGAGGGTGCAAAAGATAATACTCTCAGGATCCAGAGCCACTTCCAGAAATAACCAAAATAAAGCGTCAGACAGTTCCCCTGGGAACTGGCAACAGTTTGTAGAACCCTGGCTGCAAATGAGGTACAACTCACATTTCTGCCCAGCCATACTTTGGGAGCTCCCAATCTGGCTTTTGCCAAGCCAAGTTCTCAGGACACAAAACGAGACAAACAAGAGGGCAATAGCTCTCCCTGTGAGAGAAAATATGGACAACCAGTGGGTACCTGAACTCAGATTCACAAGTCACAATTCAAAGATCATATTCTCATGAATGTTTTTTGCCTACCAATCTGAATTGGGAAGGCAAAGTGAATTTTTACTTTCCTTTAATGATGAGGCGCCACCACACACAGAGATAGTGATAGGAAAGCTGACTCTGGTAAGAATTCTCACCTTTTGCCGGCTTCTGCCAGTTTTCTCAGGGTCCATCTGTAGGCTCTGATGTGAATGGGGTGTCCCAGCAGGTCTCATCCTAGTCACCAGAAACTGCAGAAGAGAAAAAGTAATTTTCTTTCTACATTTCATGATGAGTGTTTGGCTGAGACCCCCCCCCCTTTTTCTCTAGGGCACCTCAAAAATGGATAAACTTATTTATAAGCTAAAAGCTCTCCGCTGTAGCCACTGTAATTCGAGATTATCGTTATTAAGGTTAGCCTATTTGTTCAGCCTTAAAACAAAATTTTACTCACCTGAGGCCTCACACTGGAACCAGTTCAGCTTAAGCTGGGCCCAGTTCGATCCCAGACCCAGACTGCTTTCTAATTTGGACTTAGATCAATGCCAGACCCAGTTCTATTCCTAAATGGCTCCAATCGAACCCCAGAATTAATCCAGTGTCTGAGTCGGACATAGTCCGACCCCAGATTCAGTCCGATTTTTAAGTAGGACCCCGGATTCAGTTCCGTTTCTAAGTCGGACCCTAGCTGACCTTAAACACGGTCTAGTTTCTAACTCGGACCCCGTTTGAGCACGGACCAGGTCCCGTTTCTAAGTCGGGCCCAGTCGAAGTTCCACCAGTTTTCGGACCCAGTCTATAAAAAGAAATAAAGTGAAGGCTCCTAATGCAGGAACTGCAGAGCTAGGATCCGAGAGGGGCTCACCCACCTCCTCCAGGGGCAGCGAGAAAGCAGAGCGTTCAAGGGGCTCATCAGGTACTTACGCCCGGGTGCTCCCGGCTCCTAGGAGCCTTTTGGGGTCTCCTTCAGGTTCCTCTTCTGACACCAGAGCTATTAAAAGACAAACTCAGGCATATTCAAAATTTCAAGAGTTTATCTGAGCAAAAATTGAATTGAATCAGGCAGCATCCACTCTAACAGGTAGAAAGGAAATCCCGAGGAGCTATTCTGAATGAACAACTTTTATAGGCAGAAGGCAGTGGGAACGAGAAAGTTAAGTGAGGCAAAATAAAAAATGGGTTGGTTATTTTTCCTTTAGGAGATGGTAAGAGCCTATCAGGCAGATTAGCTAACTAGTGCCAATTAGGATATTTCTGATCAACTGCTTTAAGATTTCTCGGAAAGCCTAAACTGTAAGTCTTTGGTAATGTAGGATTTAGCATAGGTAATTCCTCTTGGGGCCTGTTGTCTTGTTTTTAACAGCAATCAGCCACAAACTCCTAAAATATTACATATTTTCCTTTCATATGGTGGTGATCACATTCTCTCATCATAAACTATGCATATATTTCATGTCCTCTCTAGATTGCTAATTCTGTAATGGAAGAATCGTTCTACCTTTATGTACTCCACTTCCTAGCACTGAACTTGTCATCGTGTAGAGAACAGTCACTCACATAACATGCTGCATAGTCGTTGTTCTGTTATTATATCATATGAAGTGGAGCACATATTATGTGTATCCCAACAGAGACACAAAAATACATGTAAATAGATTAGCAATATAAATAATTTTTCTGAAGCCTTCCTGTTTTGCTGGTTCTAAACTCTGAAAACCTAAACAGACAATGTGTTTCTATCTTCTCAAGCGAAAAAAAATCTTCCTTGTAGTTGAGGAGGAGTATGGAAAAAAAACTTAGGAGAAAGCAGCTCTGCTTACATTTTTTTTTTAGGTCTTTCCTTTTTCTTTCCCATTTCTAGCTTCTGAAATGGCTCTGCTCTGATGGGCTGTGTGATACAGTCACACTAGAGAGTATGTTGTACACGAGCATAGGTCAGAAGAGGCAGGGGGCATGTGCATGGATGTTCCCTACGCCTTTTTTTCTGGTTAAACTTCAGAGGCTGATGCTCCACTTTGGAAACTAGATTTGGGTGTAGGCTACTCTACATGTTGCCCGACTGTGTAAGCATCTTGAATAGTAAGTACCCTCATGATGATGTTGGAGGGACTGTTAGAGAGGATGAAGTACCATGGGAAAAAATGAGCAGCTGTTAAGAATGAATAAATCTTATCAGGTCACTCCTCAGCTTAAAATCCTTTGAAGCTTATTGGTGTTTTGTGAAAAGTCTAAAATCCTTGCCATAACTCTCGGGATCTCCCGTGGCTTGACTGCCTCCTCCTTCAGTCATGTATGAGATGCCTCTCCTTCACTTCATTGCTCCAGCCATACTTCCTTCGGTAGTTCCTCAGACCTGACTGTTCTCCCACCTGAGGGGTTTTGTGCAAATGATTCCTTCCATGTGGAACAGTTTTCTTCCTCAGCTTTCACCCAGCCTACTCCAAACTTGGTTAGTGCTCCCAGTTTTACAGCCTCTAGCACCTTTTACTGAATGAATAAATGATTTAGAGAAGATTGCCCTTTCTCAAAACTCATCACCCTTCCAACAGCTTGTCTACTCTGTCTTCTTCACTAGACCATAAGCTTCTTGGGGGCAGACACCAAGCCTGTGTCACTCATCCCAGGAACCACCATACCTATCCCCTTGCCAGATGGACACTAGACTCTGGAGAAATATCTGTGAAGTGATTACGTGTCTCAGAGTTTTTAAAGACAATTCCCTGAGCCAACTGGGTGGTGCCACCAGAAACATGAGAACTGAATGGGCTCTTCCTGCTTTGTCTCTCCCAAATCCAGCTGGGAAATCAGGAGGTTTGAAGGGCAGGCATTATAGAGGGGATTCTGGGTGAGGAATCTCAGCCAGGAAGCCAGGCCAGGATTCTCACTGTGAAATAGGAACATTTTCAAGGGAAGTGACCCTCTGCTGGAACTCCTAAGTTCCAAGGTGGTCATTAACTTTGAATTGTTATACAGTATAAATAATTCGCCTGTGGAAAAAATTTAGCACTGACAGTAGTGCTACTTTTTTCATTAAAATCCTGAAATCTTGACTAATCTCAGCTGTACTCAATCCAGACTGTACCATTTCTGAAACTTTAAAATATAACCTGTAGCCACCCCAGCAAAGACACCCTTTAACAAAGACAGGAGCCTAGTTCTTTAAAGGAAGGACCAATGGGAACATGGGGAATCCAGAACCTCCAAAATGATGACTTGGGGAAATAATTTGACTTGAATTATTAAATAATATGACATTATTTAATATAGTCGGATTAAATATCTATATCTAGTTGGGTTTAGTTTTCCGAGTATGTGTCATTTGGTCAATCTTCTTTAAATCATTTATTCACTCATTCAGTTACCACTTGAGTGCCTACTATACATTACCCTAGAGGGCAATAATCAAAGTGAAATAACTGTTTCTACCCACAAAGATCTTATTATCTATTCAGAGACACAGACGTGGGAAAAATAAGGGAATGACAATATATTTTTAACTTTCAAATTCCAAATGACACATCCAGCCCCTGTGAAGAGGTATACTCTGAAGAATCAGGTACAGCCTCTAAAGCACCAGTTCTATATTGTTTGTGCCTCTGGTTGTTTCCCATATAACCTCATATTTCAATGCTGTACAGGACTGTCTTCTTCTCTAAATTAGCAGGCATAAATGCAAGAGCCTTAACTCCATTAATTATAGCAAATTTTGTGACTTTTTTCTAATCGCCTTACCTAGAAACTCAACATTCTTAGTATTCTCAGAGTTCTTAGCAAATTATCAAATGCCATTTAAAATTATGGTTTGCATGACAACATTTCGTGTTGATTCTCTGCTCAAAGACTATAATCTTAGTGCTTGTGTTTCAACTTGATCTTTAGAACATGTGGCATTTAAGTTAGTTTATCTAAAATTAAACTTCAGCTATATTACTAATAATATTTTAATGGTAAGTTTATGAAGTATGCACTTAGTTGCATAATTCTATCCATATGACAATGACTGGGATGGGGATATGCACATGGTTTAGAGAGACTCATGAGATGGTGTGGGATTAATGGAAAGAAATGCTGTGTTTTTGTTTTTGTTTTTGTTTTTTTGCGGGGGCAGGGGTAGGCTCAGCAGGAGCCTGGGAAGATGCAGGCCTACCTTTTGCTGTTAGCAGCAATCCTGCCACCAAAAAGATCCCTACATCAAAGATAACTTGAAGAAAAAGAGAGCTGAATTCTAATGTCAGTTTGAGCACCTGTACCAACCCCTACCTGAGGCCACTCTACACCTGGCCTTGCACGCAAGTGAGCCTGAAATTCTTTTTTATGTTCAAGTCTATGAGTTAGGCTGGATGTGACCTGTAAATAAAAAAGATCAAACAGATTCATTCTCACAAAAGGAACAAAGTAGGAAGGAAACTGCAGACAGGACAAATGTAAGCCATTCTGTATTTATTCAGTATTTAATACACATTCCTTCCCAGAGGGAAAACATACAATCTGAGGTATCCCATTTTAATAAATCCCCTGCTCTGGGTTTACATCCTGAATTTCTATGCCCATTAATCAAGGTTTGGTACTATCACATGTACACAGTAACTAAAAATTTTCCCTGAGATCATCAAGGCTGTGCCACAGAATATCTTGCCCTACCAAAATTCAGGAGAAAATACAGGAAACTAGTAGTCTTTTGGTAGTGGAGGAGGCAGACAACTTAGGTAGAATTCCTGAGAAAAAAGTATAGAGTCAACCCAGCCACTAATTAATATTTCCCTGGTGTGGACTCTTGTCAACATCTCCAAGTATTCTATAAGGGAAACTCACCTTATTGCATATAAAGACACTTTATCACAATGCTGTGTGCAAAGCATCTTGGCTAGTGCTAACTACCAGCACCATCTTGATGCCTCAATTGCCAATAAAATGCAGAGCTAGTGAGGTATGGACGGCCTTTCCCCAGTGGCATACAGGAAAGAGAAACACATGTTATTCACATTATGTACTAGGTCAGGCCTATAATGTTTTACAGAATGGTTTGAAATCAAAACAGCATGTGATCCTCCATGAGCAGGAATAGGAAGAGACTTTTTGAATTATCACTTCAAATCCCAGCCAAATCAAGTCACCAAAGCTTAAGGCAAATGGACATCCACATAGTCTTCCAGTCTTGGTGCACTGAGAGTCAGCTCTGCTGGGAATGCAACTTCCAGCAACCCCGCCTGAGTTGCAAGAAATCACATTCTGAGCAGGATCCAGTTTGCTAGGATCAGTCATTCTTACATTTTGTTGTCACTCTTCTACCCGCCCATCCCCCTAAGATGACACAATGGAATGATTGTGTTCCTTACTGAGGACTTCCCTTTTTAAAAATAAACAAGCAGAAGTTTCCCTAATGTGACCCATTTTCCATAGTAGAAGAAGGCAGCCGGTCCTGGGGTGGGGAGAGTGGGGAAGGAAGCCGGGCGTCAGGCATACGCACGCTCCGAGCCGATATGCCAGAGAGTATGCCGGCCTCTGAAGACGGGAAAAGCGAAAGGAAGGCTGAGCGTCCATGGGGTGTGGCACTTCTGGAGACATTATTCCATGGACACAAGGTTCCCAGTTGCCTTTCTTAGTTTTTCTTGAGGTAGGTCTTACAGGCTTTGGCCATGTCTTCCAAGAAGTTAGGAACTCCATTCTGCAAAGCAAAGCAGACTGTCATTTCTAGGGCCTCATAGCAATCACTCCTGATTCTTTGGGATGTGGCTATGGTAAATAAAGATGACTTTTGGAATAAGAGAAGACTGTAGGACCTTGGGCTGGATTTCGACAGAATGCTGCCACAAGTAGTGACAAAAGGTAAGATCTAGGGAGGAGGTGAGACTAGACGACAGAGGCCACTGTCACAAGCCAGTCTTAATATTTTGATATTTGCTAGTAAAAAGTTAAGACATTTCTGAGACACCATTTCTTGGAAAACAGGAGATGGGATTGGGCTGGGTTGTTCAATTCTTCCAAAGAAATGAGAGAAAGGACTTGCTGTAGAGAATTAGGAAATGGTAAGGATTTGGGGGCAAGAGGAAGGATATATTACCGTTTAGTTAGTGTTGGGCGTCATGCAAGACTTTTCCCAAACATTGTCTTATTTACCCCCACTCTGTGAGGTAGGTAATATCCAACTCCATTGGGAAAAACTTGATGGCGTCCATAGATTACACAGTCAGAGCAGGGTCAGGACTCAAACTTGCATGGGTTTGACACAAAACCTGTGTCCTTTCTCACTCTCCCAGAGAATCTGTTGAGCCCTCCAGCCAGTAAGCAGGACTTGCACAAAGCAGGCTGAATGGTCCCCATGCAGCCAGGCTCCTAGGCAGGCTCGAGTAATCTGGGCTACCATTGTAATTCCCTGCCCTGACAGAACAACAAGACAAAACAACAATAACAAAACTGGAGGCTTTCCCTAGGCTTGGAGACAGCCAGCCGGTCGTCTCCCGAGCCAGGTCAGACTGTCTTACTCCTCCATAAGCAGATACAGGGTCCAAAGGCACCACTGTTCCTACAAGGAGCACCCTATTGTCTGGAGGTTCCAGAGAGTGATCCTGGCGGGGTCTCGGGGCGCCAGCAGGGAGGGGCTGGCGTTCCAGCTAAGGATTCTTTGTCTTTTGTCCCAGCCTCATCCTGGGTGTTGGCAACCCTGTCCGAACCGTGGTCACTCAACCAAGCCACTTCATAAAAGAACCTCATTAGGCTTGAGACAGCGTGTCTTTTCGGCCTGACAGCCCCATGGGCTAAGTCAACATTTGTCAAACACACTTCCCCCTCCTGCCTCCTGGGATCTCACCTTGGTGGCCCAGTTAATGAGCCAGGACGGAATTTGGCCACCCGGGTTATCGAAGTAATACATGAAAACTAGAGGGGGAAAAGAAAGGACAATTCAGAAGGAGAAAACACGTTAGAAAGATACAGCAACAAATCCTGCAAACCTTCCCCCTTTCGATTCAGACCCAGAAAGTAAGGAGGGCGGTAACACGTAATTCATGTGGGCTTCTCTCGTCTGCCTTGTCTTTGGGAATATTCATATACAAAAATTTTTGAAAACATAGCCACAGGTACATTTTGCTGCTATTTATTAAAAGCCTGGCAAGTGCTAGACATTCGGGATATAGTCTCTTATTTAATTCATTCTCTCACTCATTATCCTAGCAATCCGAAGGAGCTGGTGAAATTCAACCCCAGAGTATAAATGATAAAATGGGAACTCAGAAGTTAGTTGACATGTCAAGGTGACAGGTCTAACAAGCATCAGAACTATAGTTCAGATTTTGCGTCAGACGCAAGACCACACATTCCAGCAGGGCAGGTGGCTGTATGCCCAGCTCTCCGCCCCCAGCTCTTGTAGTTTGAATTCAAGGTAGGCAGGCCCTGAGTCTCTGAGTTTTTGCTGGGCCGGAGCTATGTCCCTGAGATAGTCCTGTCAGCTCTTCGCCCACCCACAGGCCCAGTAGCAAGGTACCCACATGACTAGCCTGAAGTCATTTCTAACCCTGATTGATGTTCTGATTTTATCTGGACAACGGAAGAGTCAGTAAAGAATGGAGTGAATTAGATTTAAACATCCACCTTGCACTCTAGTCAAGTTTCAGGGACGAATTGAGCCTCTCCCCAGGCGTCCATCCCTAGGTTGTTCTGCACCCCTACCCATTCTCTGATCTCAGGTAACAAGCATCACGCATTTACATGCCTCACAATCAGCACGGCCTTCACACGAGTGGCCCTGGCCAGTGCACCAACATGAGCCCTGGCTTTACCTTTGCTCCCCTTCTTGCCATCGCTCTCGATTGCCAGGCACTGCTTGTACCCCTTCACCCGGATCACTCCTGGCCTCTCGGCGAACTGTGGCACAGAGGTGCTCTGAGCCAGGACCACATGGATCTTCCGTCCTTCCACATCCAGATCTCGCCGCTGCCGGATGTAGACATACTGCACCACCAGTCAAGGCATGACATCAATGCCAGCATTTCAGATGGGGAGAAGGAAAGCCCTACGAGCTCTACAAGCCTGAAGCAAAGGGAGGGCATTCTGTCCTTCCCACTTGGCATTTCTACCCACATATATGGTACTTTAGTTACCTGCCCTGTCTCCCTACCTGCACTGCTGGATTGTGCCTCATACCACCTGGTATTCTGTGAATGATAGCATGATGCTTTTAATTATGTGGGGAAGCCACTCCTCATCTCTCCAAGACGGCACTGGGAGATATCAGAAGATTGGTCACCCACCAGCTCTGTGGTCCTGGGTTAGTTACTCAACTTCCCTGAGACTCAGTTTCCCTGTGAAGGAAAGGGGAGTAACATAGTCCAGAAGATATGCTTGGCGGGGGCATTACAGAAGGACAAGCAGAATAAGTACTCGATAAACAATGAGGTCATTCACTTTGTCTTGCCCTCCTCCAAAGCTCTAATTACTGACCTCTCTACACAGAGGACAGTCCAACAATGTTATAACTGGTGATCATAGGAAGACACACGAATACCTGAATATTTAGCAGGCAGAGGTCCTCTCTGGGTTAACACTGGTTCACCAAGAATAACAAAATCATTTCATCACAGCAAACACAGAATAACCACTGTCTATGGCACTATTCTAGGAAGATAACCTTAAGAAACAATAAGAGTCCACTTGTTGAGAGCCCTCACAATGTAATGAACATTATGTGCTTTACATATAGCATCATTTTTGATCCTGACAAAGTCCCTGTGAGTTCAATACAAGCATCCCCATCTTACAGTTGACAAAATTACATCAGAGAGGTAAAGAAACTTGCCTAAGATCCCATAGCTCGGCTGAAGTGACGAAACCTGAATTTGAACCCAGATGTGGCTTCAAAACCTAGTTAGGCTTTCATAGCTTGACAGAGCTCAACTTTTTGTGCATTATACTTTCAAATGACAGAATTTTAGGTTTAACACTGGAAGGAATTAAAAGCCTAAGGCAGTGGGAAAAAAAAAAAATCACTCTCAGTAGAACACAATTACACTTACTATAACAGCAACAACCACAGCCCCATGACACCTCAGAGTCTACACCCAGAGCTGTCCCACCCTTCACTAAGGCACCTGCAGGGTGGTCTATTACCCCCACTCTCTATGTACTGATGAGTAAAGTTCTTAAATGTTTTAGAGGAAAAATAATGTTGCTTTGGCTCTGGTTTTGGTTTTCCTCTCTCCCACATCACAGCAAATACTGTCCTACTTTCTCCCATCATTTACTCAGTTCATGTGATAGATATCACCTGACACTCCACCGATAAAACATTAACTTGACATATTGATTAAAGTTTGGCAGAGGTCTATGAAGGGTTGGAAGGTCCAGTGTGCCATAGCTGAGGCCCAGCGATGTGAAAGGGCTTTTCCAAGGTCACATGGCAAACCAGAGAATGGGCACACACTCGACCTGGGATCTTTCCTCTAAAACTAATGTTTCTTTTTCAATCACTGTACTATTATCTAGTCTCAAAAATTTAACAACCCTTGTTAGAGAGACATAGATGCATATATAAAGACTAAGAAACTCATTATAGGATTGTGTGACATTGGAAAGCCAATGAAATAAAAGTTTAAGGAGTCCCAAGTGTCCACTCCTAAAAATACCTACCTAGCAGTGTCCCTGTGAGGTAAGAGAGGTAGGATCATGGCTTGGTCAAGACTTCTATCTCTGGAGACAACTGGACCTGGGTTCCGACCCGCCTCTTCCACCCACCAGCTGTGTGAACCCAAGCAAAGTTGTGAACTTCTCTTTGCCTCAGTTTTCTTAACTGTGAAGTGGGGGTCATGATGCCTACCTCACACAGTTGTTGGCAGGATTAGAGAAAACCACATAAAATCTAAGGGAGTAAGTAATCCACCAGTTGCTGAGCTGTATGCAAACTATCTAGCAGTGTGTGGGAATTGTACCAAGAGATAAAGCCCTATAGAGTTTATTATCTACTCGGGGCCAGGGTAAACACATATACTTAGACACAAAAACGCATACAAACAATACACATAAAACGCACCCACATTCTCCCTCTCTTTCTAGAGAATAATTGTTTAGAACATACAAACTTATAGAATGTTAGAGCTAAAAAAGATCCCAGCAATCACCTAATTTCAGTGATTTCCAAAATGTAGTTTTTAATCCACAAGACTCTCTGCTAAAACGATCCTAGATAGAAATTCAGTGTGTGAAACACCCAGCTGCTGTGATTAAAGAAGACAGGGAAGGAGTCAATACACTGCCTATCAGACATCCTACCCCCAGCCTGCCCACCCAGCAAATTTCCATCCCACCCTCCCACGCTAGTCTTCAACAGGCTTCTCAGAACCTTGGAGTGCCAGCTAAAACGCCCCACATTTCCATTCAACCGCTTCACATCATAAACAAGGAGATTGAGGGGAAGAAGCACGTACCCAGTATCCAGAGCCAGTAGTCAAGGAGGAATCACTGTGGATTCAATAAAACAGGAAGGGGAATAAGAGAGCTGGAATTGTGGGGGCCTGAGTTCCAGTTCCCTCTCTGCCACTAATCACCTATATGTATGTCTCTGTCACTTTACATCTTTATTGATTGAGGGAGTGTATCAAACATTCTTCATCAAAAGTTCTTTTCGGGTCTCTAATCCTGTGGCTCAATAATTTTAAGCCCTAAGAAAGCTCCTAGGAACGTACGAGCTTCCCTCCAATGACCACAATTATAGATGCTCCACGTGGTCAGGCCTAGAAATCACACTCTGAGGTCTCCTTAAAGCCACATAAGGAGCAATACCTTTAATAGAAGCTTCTGCAAGAACCGAAGACAACATCCACACCTGCTGGACGTACCACCATCGGGCGATGGACATGGGGCACAGCAGCACTTAGAAAGCTGATTGATGATACATCTTGAGAAAGGATACATCCCTATTGGACATGGGAAAAGGGTATTTCACTTCCCAGTAGACCACAATCTTGCCGTCACATTCTTTTTCATAGAGTTCTAAGGAGAACAAAAGAAGCAATGTATCTGGAAGCCTCTTTGGCTTCAATAAACAAGAAGCTTACATACTATGACCTTGTAGCGTATGATAAACCACTAATGCATAAGGCACAGAATTCTAGAAAAAGTCAGGCAGATTCATTACCACTGAAAGCTTGTTGCTTAGGTGCATAGTCCAGTAGATATAAAAACATAGTAAAAATGAAAGAACCCAACAAAATTTGTCTATCTCATAACACAAGTTTCTCCAATAGAATGCAACGAAACACAATCAGGCATCCAAAAATAAAATTTCAGGTTTTAAAATCAGGGTAACCACCAGATGTCACTAGAGTACCAATAGTTTTGCTTTTGAGCTGTTTCCTCCCTCTAGAATTTAGGACAGTACAGCTGGCCCCGGACTGAGTCACCCAGTCTAATGTAGTTAGCTGCAAAATGAAGGTATCTTTCCTAAACAGCTAGAAAATGGCATAACAGTGGCTTCTCTCCCGTGTTTCTTTACACTATTCCACAGCTACAGTAACCAAATCTCCTTAACATTCTATCATGCTATTGTGTGCAGGTAGCAGCCAAATCATGGAGGGAGATAGCAAAGGAATTTAATAACATGCACACTCTCCAACCCTAAGCTGTACAGTGAGCTTCTCCTTAACCATTTAGAGAAGAAGCCAAACCAAGGCTGCCGGAGTAACCAAGAGAGTCCCTTGAGATGCTGATGAGGAAAATGCATTAAATTAATTCAGCTTTTAAAAGAAAATATATTAGAAGTAGACGGTGGATTAAAGAGCTTACCAGCCCATTGGTGCCACAAGAGGCTGAGACACTTGTTTTTACATGCTCAGCACTGACTCTCCTTCAGGGCCTCACCCTTCCCCTCCTTCTTGACTATGTGGTTTAAGCAGAACTGACGCAGCAGTAGTTTCGGGACTGGGGAAATGAGCAAGACATGGCCATGGGGATTAGTTCAGGGGTAGTGCTTCTGGCCAGCATCTTAGCTTGCCACTCCAGCAGGTTTAGGCTGAAAAGTGGTTAGTAAAGGCTCACAGGTAGCTCACAGAATATCCAGGAGGACCAGAGTTAGGTTTAGAACCTGAGGATTGTTCCAGAGAAGCCAATCTGCTGCTGCCACTGAGCTAGACACCATAGCATGACCTGTTGATGCTAGGTACAAAACATCAGATCTCTGAAACCATTTACCCCAAAGTCAGATGCTTAGCTGTGACCATCAGATGATTCTGCATGCTGCCTGCTTCCTCGTGTTACTCTTCCCAAACTGAATCCACATGTGCATCTTATGGCCAACTTCTATATCACATGACTGAACCATGGCTGCTAGGGAGACTGGGACAGTCTGGTTTCACCCTTGGATGGGTGAGCATCATAATTCCAGATAGGAAGGGTATTTGAAAAAACTAAGTGATGCAAAACCATGACAAATGTCCACCGGAAATAAGCACATGGTCCATGCTGAGCCAACAAGAACCAATCCTGGAGCTCTGGCTGCCATCAGTAAGAAAGTGGAATTCTTGTTCTGGTTTCTCCGGGGTTACTTATATCAGGGTCCCCAACTTCCGGGCTGTCGACTGGTACCAGTCGGTGACCTTTTAGGAACCGGGCCACACAGCAGGAGGTGAGTGGCGGGCAAGTGAGAGAAGCTTAATTTTATTTGCTGCCACTCCCCAGTTCTAGCATCATCCCCTCTGCTCCGCGTCATACCATTAGGCATTAGATTCTCATAGGCGCACCGTTCTCTGGTGCCAAAAAAGGTTGGGGACCACTGATTTATAATTTAAGCCTGGATCTTCTGATGGCTATCTTTACCATGACATAGGAATCTGCCTGAGAATTAGGTCAACACAGAAGAAAAGAGTCAAGAGATGAAGTAATTATTTAAATATTAGATGCAACTGTCCTAGAAGCCAGAAACCCATGGAGTTTCTAATGCCTTGAACCAGTAAACTCTTTTTCCTTTTCTTACACTAGTATTTGTTAGCTTTTGGTTACTTGCACCCAAGAGTTCTGAGCACAGCAAGGGTCTTTCAGAGTTTCTGTGCCCCTTGGCAACTGCAGTTCTATACCACTGTGACTGAGATGGCAGAGGCCAACCCCACCTCTAGCGGCAGGAAGGTCCCCTATTTAATGCCTTTCATAACTATCCATCACTTATAGGGTGAAATCTAAGAACTGCAGGATGGTAGCCAGTCTAGGCCCTTGGGGATGTGAACCCCCTTCTCACCCTAGCTCCAGATTCTGCTATCAAATAGCTCACGGTTTTGAATACTGTTTCATGCTGTTTCACGCTCTCCTGACTTGACTTCATGCCGTTCCCTGGGCCTGGAATGCCCTGGCACCAGACATCCCTTTATCCTCTCTCTTCCTCACATATATGTATTCTTTTTGTTTATAAAACTTTGATTCAACTTCTAGACGCCACCTCCTCTAGGAAGCCTTCCATGACACCTAGGTATATAGGATGGCAACCAACTTACAGAGAGAAGTAGCCCTGAGAGCAAACCGGCGCATATGCAAGGAGCCCGTCCTAGGAATTGCATAGGCATAGTTCAGCCCAGCACTTAAGACTTCTATGCCAAAATTAAAAATGAAACATAATACAGAATTTAAACCTACTGCTTTATACTGAGTAGGATAAATAACAATAGATTCTACTTTCTAATCGACTTTTTGAAAATAGCAGGTGTTTCTCACCTTTAACATTTTTGTCCCACTGTTTTCTATAGTCTATGTCCATGTAGACATCTGCGAGCAGAGCTGGCGGGCAACTCTCCAGGACACCGAAAACTTTATACTCACAAAGTCCAGTCTCCTGTAGAAACAGAACAGGCAGAAACAACCTATTGATTCCCAAACCGATAGAGCTGGGTTACGTAGCATATGAAAAACAGCTGAGGATGGCATTCATGCAATACCATTTACTGAGCACCTCTCTGTGGTCTTGGTGATACAATATGGTGAAAAAGCAGATGAGGCCCTGCTCTCATGGGTCTTGAGTTCGCCTAGACGCATCCGTGGTGGAGGTAGCTGTAACCAGTATCCAGCTAATTTAAGTAGGACATGAAAGGAGTGATGTGATAATTGGTGCTTGATTTGGGAGGAGGAGGTTTTACATAATCGGATGGTCAGGAAAGGCCTCTATGAGGGATAACATTTATCAGAACATCTTGTTTTAAATACTAAAAGGAACCATTCATGGGAAGGTGGGGAAAACCCAGTCCTAGAGGGGAAGGCCCTCCGACTGACTGGATCGGCATGCCCAAAGAGCAAAAAATCAGGGTGTGTGGAGAACTAGATGGGGGG